CCCAATAGTACCACCATGAGCAAGACCTTGGTGACGGGGGGAAGGAAAAACTGCTTCGGGTCTAGGTGGGTGGCCGTCTGCCTTGACCAATGAGTCATAGGTTTGTAGGGACAGACCACTATATGGTTGAAATTGTCACCTTTCACATTAGGCAGTGCATAATAAAGGACATCAACCAAAGATCACACTGAGTGATAGTATATGCATGTGTAGTACATGCTAAAGTCGTCATTCATCAAACAATCGAGTGCACATTTGGTTGTCTGTTTATTATGATACATTTCTATTATTCCGGTGCAGTGCTGAGCAGTAAGGCATTAGTAATAATACTACTTTCCACAGTAACTAGTAGTGCATTAATTACAAATAAATGTCAGGAATAATATTACAGTTACCTCTACCAAAAAATTGTTACATTACTTTTACATTGTTGCCTTCTAATGATGTGAAATCCAACAATCCAATCACATCCTTAGATTCTTTTTTATAATCATGGAGAAAACTAGTTTGGAAGATAAAACACTTACATTCAGAGGCTGGAAATATACCATTACGTTGATTTTAATAAACAAAACTGGATTGTCAGAAGTCGGGAATTTGGCTGAAAAGGGACACAATTACTTACAGTGGGGAGAGGTGGAAAAGTAATGTAACTAGTAGTGTAATTAATTACTGTTGGCAGGGAGTAATAAGTAAAGTAATTATGACTTTTGAAAAGAGTAACGAGTACTACATATATTTTTTTGAGTAACTAGCCCGACACTGTTCCTGTGCATAACTAGACAAATTAAGATTGTGGTGAATTTCCCTTATCAGGATAATGGTGAATATCCTCACATACAGTCCTATATGGATTTTCTCATTTATTTTGAACTGCCACAAGGGGGAGCCCACATCTTTCCTGTCATTCCAAAACCCTAAACCTGTCACCATGGCTAAAGGCTCTGTTTGCACAAAATGTCAGGTAAAGTTATTCCAGTGCCTTTTTTTTTTTTTTTTTACACTATAAGTTTATTGGGCAAGGTTAAACAAACACACATTCCAGTCATTACAACATTAGTGTCTTTTTAATTTGACTAAACAGAAATTCACAAGTTCAAAATCTTTATTTGTCTCAGAGGGGCAATTGGTTCTGCTGCAGGAGTGATAAAGAAACGTCAACAGCAACACAGGGTGAGACACAGGTAAAGAAGCCACACAAACATAACTACACTTCAATGCATATGATGATGATGGTACCCATACCTCGCAGAGATGAGCAGGAGACTGGCGATGGAGACATTTTCTCTCCCCTGGTTACCTGCCTACTCTTATATTCCAGCATTCCGTCTTTTAGATACAGGAGCAGCCCAGGGTTTCAATCCGACCAGTGGCCTGCCTGCCTGCCTGCCTGCCTGCCTGCCTCTCTCTCTCTC